TGTCCATGTGACAAGATAAGAATCATTTCCACTATTTTCCATACTTTTGAATAGTGAAAATCATGAAAATAAGAAGTGAGAAATGTGTCAAGGGAAAGATTTTGAGGATCAAAAGTAGAAAATTCATGTAAATTTGTCTTAACTACTTTGTCTAGAAAATCTCCAAACTGAAGCAGAATTTAATCACAATCATCTTGTAAAGCACGTTTACTCCGCATTAATACCGTTAGAACTATTTTCATTTTGTTCTGGGCTTTTTCTGGACTTTTAACCATCAATCGCGGGTCTATACAAGATGCATTTCGAATAAGAGAATAATTTATTGGACATTTAGACATTAAGTGTTGTACCATTGTTAAGACACATTGTTGACCTTCTTGTTTCAATGCAAAACTTTCAGCTTGTGAAATGTCCTTCTTGCGGCATTTATCATTCATTAACTGCTCAGCAATGAATCCCAAATAAACTTTACTTTTATCATTATAACAATTTGGATCATTAAAATTAAATTTATAAAGATTTTCTGCTTTAGTTATTTTTGAATATTCTAGTTTCAAAATTTTAAAGTGCTGAAGGCAATCATTTACAAGTTTTAAGATATCTTCAGCAAAAAAGGGAATAAGTGGTTTATCACTTTGATAATATTCAAGGAAAGGCAATAATATTTTTGACAGAGAGAGAAAAAAATTTAAATTTTATAAGAAATGTTTTATCTTTAGTTGCCTCCAAAATATTTGAGAAGGATTTCAATGAATTTTTTTTTAAACTTCCCCATTTCAACTTTTTTAATGTACAGTAGCAAGTCATCCCATATTTCAATGGCTCTTTCAACTGCTGAGACATTTTGCAACCATCGGTAAAAGCAGAACTTCACGGGTAGCTTTTTCAAGCCAGATATACTTAAAAAATTTTCACGTCTTGCAGGAGAATCTTTAAAAATCCAATATAAGGAGGATAAGAATGATGGAATGTCCCAGCCAATGGATGACATACCATGCTTGAAAGCATTGTTAAGAACGTGTAAACCGCATGTCCCTAATGTCAAGCATTGAATGTTATATTCCTTTGTCAAGTCCTGTTACAATAAATCATAAAATTTCCAGTTTACTGCAGGACCATCCATCGATATTTGTAAGAGTTATGACAAATCTAGTCAACACATTCATAATATTTGGATAAAATAATTTCACTTGTTGCATGCCCTATAAATGCAGAAGTAAGGTACTGAGTTCTGACCTTATTTTTTGTGATGCCAGTACCTCACATGAATATGTAGTTGCTTCTTTTGATTTGTTAGATTAAGAGTCTCATCAAATAGTAATGTAAAAAACTCAGCATTTTTACAATGCTTTAGTAACAAAGTTTTAAAATAAGGGTCAAGACCAAAATAACAGATATAAGCACATTTCTTTTCACCACATGAAAACTGTTTTGCAATGGAACTATCCGGGAACATTTTAGTGAATAACGGCCCAATATCATCGCACGATTTAAAAGAATAGTGGCTTTTGATGAACCCAAAAGCCCACAATATTTCTGCATCTGTAACTTCAGATTTGAAAAGAAAAGAATTGATTTTATTATTTTCTACACTTATTGATGTTGAATTAGCAGTTACATCTTTTCCTGAAGTAGATGGTTTTCTAACTTGACAAAATTCATGATGCTGTTAGAAGAAACTCTGCAGTTGAGAAGGGAGAGATGTTTTGCACCTAAAAGGGGCATTACATGCAATGCATTAGCAAAATTAAGTATCGCATATACACTAATGTTCATAAATTAAGGATAATTCGGAGTCACGCAGAAATCAAACTCTAAGATAAATATATCACCTGTAAAATCACTACACACATCTTCAAGAATCATAAGAAAATTTCAGGAAGTAACCAGATGACACCGATGGTACGTCACAATGAAGAGAGTGATATATAAGGAATACAGGCAAAGAAGTAAAATTGTTCGCAGGTGCTTTATAAGAATTTCAGTTTTTTTTTCAAGTTTTTCATTGCGATGACAATGCCCCAATCATCAATCAATTAACGGAGGGCGAAATCTGTAGTATGGTTCTAAATCCAGAAAATACAGCTACCGATAGTGAAGAAAGTAACAGAGAGGTTACTGAACAAGAAAAAATTTTGATTGACAAGTTATTCGGAATTCTCGACACAGCAATTACAGGACTAGAACAATGGAACTTAATAACTGAACAAGAAGTTATATGTCTATAGTATTAGTCCAAAGTATTAGCAGAGAAAACAAATCAAACAACTCACATTGAAAGAAATGTTTAATAAAGTAAACATATAAATATTAAGCTCTTTTCTTTTGTAAATTTTGATACCCTTTAAATCATAAATGCTTCATTATTTCATAAATCACGATTTCATATTTTCAATTTTAATTTTTAATTTCTACGTGCCATCTTAGTAGATTTAAAATGATCTAATATCCGGAAAAATCTCAAATCTGGGATCGCCGAAGTCCCGACGCGTCCTGACCTCGGACTTTGTACTGTATATATATATATATATATATTTAGTGCTATTTGAGATATACATATATATATATATTCCGCATTATATATATATATAATACGGAATGTATATTTTCAGTTAGACTTCTACCCAATAACTTTAGTAATTCATGAAAGTTAATTTTGCATCTAGTTAATTCAGGAAAATTAGTTTCAATTAGTTGTTTTCAGCTTTAAAAATATTAAAAAATTTTAATTAGTTAGTTGTTTTTTAACTAATAATTGTATCGCCATTAGCAAAAATAATGCATTACTATTAACAGCATAGGATTAAACCAAACACTTAATTGTCTATTGAAGCTTCAAAACGTATTTCCGAACTTCACTTTTTCTACCCAATTTGCCCTTGGCAACCTAAAATCGAAATGGAGCCAACAGATTTCCAGCGAAATCGATAACAGACCATCTGCAGAAATAAATTCGTAATCCCGATATCCCATACATATAGTATGTGCAAAAGAGAATAAACTCTGTAGAAGGTGATAAAAAATTAATTTATGGCTTAATTGAAACAAACACAGAAATTAAGCTAAGCAAAACCGTGTAAAACAAATTGAAATGATAAAACGAAACTTAATTTTCATGTGAATTTTCAGCGCTGACTCTCCCATTCTAGAAATTTCAATTTGTTTCAAAGACCACATTTAGCTTTATAAGGATTGTCATCCATCAATATCCAGTCTTTATAGTCAGCTTGATGAAGCCACAGTTTATTGAAAATGCACTTTCCAGGCATCTCTTTCCTATTGGCGTCGGAAGGGTTGTGGCCTTCCAGGTTGAGACTGCTCTAATTTTGGCAAATATTTTCAGAATCCCCCCTTTTTTTTTCTCGAGCACCTTCATCATCACTTTCACCTCTTAAAAAACTTCCGGCTTCACGCTTTCGTCACTATCTGCCTTAATTTATGGATAACACCTGTTTCGAAAGATTGAGTGAATAGCCAATCAGACACCGATACTTTCGTTCAGGTAGCTAATTTTTTTTTTTTTTTTTTTTTAAACCTTTTGCAATGCAAATCCGCCAACAGATTGGTTAAGAGGAGTGTAATTTTAATTCCATATTCATGAGAAATTGCAATTTTTAGAAATGATAAGAAATGTCAAATGAGCAAAATTAAGGACCGTTTATTCATTTTGGCCAAAATTAACGACTTTTAAGGACCAAAAATCATTTTTGAAAAAATTAAGGACTTTTAAGGACCGTACGAACCCTGAAAATCTAGACCTCAAAGCCACCAGCAACCAATTTTTTTAAGGATTATTTTTGGAGTGGGATATCCTTTACACATGCACATTTGATTTCCCCCTCATAATAAAACATGCAGAGTCCTGATTCTTAATCTCACTTCAGCACTAAATAAAATACCTCATTACCAAAAAAATACTCATTTTAGCATAAATTTGTGTGATCAATAATTTGACTCCGTAGTTGCATATCTGCTTGGCATACATCTCAAACCGAAACATTCTACATAGGAACATGATTTTACACCAACTAATATTTTATATCCTTGATGCTAACCTGGCAAATCATTATTTATTATATTTTCTTTCATCACCACGTTTATCAACACATGATAAATTGAGTGATGACTCATGCAAAGATGCCTAAACAATACTTTTTATATTAGTAATTGAATAGCAAACAGTATTATCCGATTACAGATTTATGTTAAATGCACTAAAAATGTTGACAAGGAAAGATTTAACAAAAATTTCTTTCCATATGCTAAAAATAGATTTTGTTAATGATACTCATAGGACAAACGATTATATTTAGTGCTATTTGAATTAAGAATAACTGATTTGTTATTCACATAAAGCCAGAACCAGCGCCAGATCTCGCATGGCCGCAGAATTTAGAGAAGAAAAGGAATTAACAGAAGTTTTTCATTGCGATGACAATGCAACAAACATCAATCAACGGATGGCGAAATCCGTAGTATAGTTCTAGACACCAAAAAATACCGCTACCGATAGTGAAGAAAGTGACAAAGAAGTTATTGAAAAAGAAAAAATTTCGATTGATTAGTCGGAATTCTCGACTTATATCTGTCTATAGAATTAAGCGGAAAGTATTAGCACAAAAAAAAAACAAAAAAACTTAAACAACTTACAGTGAAAGAATTTTTAATAAAGTAAGCATATAAATATTAAGCTCTTTTTGTTAAAATCTGGAATTGCCGAAGGTCCGGGATCTCAGACTTTGTACTGTATTAGTAAAAATAATACAAACCTGATAGTTTTAAATATAGTATTCAATTTCTATCTTAATAAAAATACATAATTTATATATAAATGCTAGAAGTGCACGAAATCTTACAAAAAATGTAGGGATAATGTAAATATTCCAAATTGGATGGACATGGTTTAAAATTTATAAAAAGAATCTAGAATTTCCTATGCTATACACATACAATTGTATCAGATTTAAAAAAAAAAAAAAAAAAAACTTAAAATTACTAACCCAAGCACTCCTCTGATATAATAACTGATAAAGCATTTGCAAAGTTTCATAATCAGCTTGTTCTACAGCTCTTACAACTGGAAGAATAAATAAAACATAAGAAAATCTAAAAAATCGAACAATATAAGAAAAGTTTTAGATCTAATTTACTTTTTAATACACTCTGCCACAAAAAAAATATATGCACTGTCATACATTGTTTTATGCATGGGTTCTGGATATATATTTAATACTTAGCATGGACGTGAACGTAATGTGGGCATATCATACAACATACATTTAATGGCATGAACACTTTATTATCACACGAACAAAACAAATAGTTTACATAAAAATAGAACCATATTTATCATTATGCTGGCATACAGCACGTTACTATCACGTTCTCCTCTCTTCTATTCTAGGTCACGTGAGAGAGGCGATGCATGCCGTTCGGCTAAACTGTGCAGGCATGGTCATCACATACACCCAAAAGAAATCCAGCCACAATTATGAAACTCAGCAGGAATGTAGTCTGGTAAGAGATAAAAGATGCCTCTGAGACATAACCAGCACAATACGAACAGTTGTCGATCTTTGAGAAGGGGCATATATTAGGACTTAGAGAAGCAGGTTGGTCAAACAGGCGTATCGACCAACCACCTCGGTTGGAACAATATGGTAGTTGCTCGGTGTTGCCAACAATACATCACAGAAGGGATAGTCTACCATTGCAGAGGGTCAGGGCATACCAGGAACACAAATAAGCATGAAGATTGTGCAATAGGAGCAGCCACTTTCACACCAAACAACATCACCAGCATCAATTTGACGTCATTCACCAACTTCCAGGCATCTAGTGATATCAAAGGAAACCATTCGGAGATGACTGACCGGTGCTGGTATACACTGTCGACACTCATTAAGACACCTACCACTGACCTTGCATTACAGGCGAATGGATTTTTGCCAAACTCAGGCAAGCTGAAGTGTGACCAACTGAAGGAGTGCAATCTTCTGCGATGAATCCTGATTAAGTCTCAGTGCTGATGATCAATGCATACACACGTGAAGGGGGCAGGCCAGCGGTCTGATATGGCATTTGCTGTGGAGCAGTATACGGCGATTACACAAGTGTGACAATGTGGGAAGTGCTTTGTTGGGACACATGATCACCTCTAGTCATTCTTCAAGACTCACTGTTACGTGGACATTTTAACACCGGTTGTACTGTCTATGCTATCAAGTCCCCCATATGCCATTTAGCAACATGACAATGCTCATCCACATACTGCACGACTCTCCCAACAGCATCTTCAAGGATAGGCAACAGAAGCCATCCCGGAATATTGGTGAATTAACAGTCCAGGTTGCAAAGATTATAGCATGATCCTCCACAGGAAGTCATAAGTACTGATTTGATATCATGCCATGTTTTGGCTCATATAGCTGCCAGGGGTACTACTATTTACTGACTTGTAACAATTTCCATGCCATAACTTCTTAATAAAACAATCTTTTGTTCTCAATTTGTAATCATTTGTTGGACAGAGTGTATAAATTCAGTATGAATTCAGTAAGATCGACATACTTATTACGACATAATATAAAAATTTAATTATAACTTGTTTATTAGGTCATAATATTCCATATACAGAAGTCAGCATACTTTTACTGAAACGTGACAACGGACATCCTTTCTCATCATTAGCAGAATTTGAAGCTTCATCAAAACTAGCAGATGCTGAAAATATGAAAAAATGAATTGTAATAACATGTGATAATCATATTTCTTTACAACATAATCAGCAGATATAAAACAATTACTAAAATTAAAATGAATTTTAATTTGGTCCTGCAGATATCACATTTTTGCCCTATTAACACACTCAGCCACATTTACATTTTCAATTATTAAAATTCTTAAAAGAAATTTTAAACCTAAGAAAGTAATTCATAATTAAAAATTAACACAGCGACTTCCCAAGAAAGTGAATAAAATCTGTTTATCCAATGCATAACACTGCCTGTATTACTAACTTTAAAAATTTAATAGGCCAAAATTCTGAAATTTTCAGATATCTACAGCTTTACAACTATGGCTTAACTTTTCTCATTTACTAAAAGTTGTTATGCTATTTGCAATTTTACTTTTAAGCTAAAAGAATGCTGTAATTATATCATAATACATGATTTAACATTTATTTTTACTATTTCATAATTATCTTCTGCAAGAGAGAGGATACAGAGGGACACAAATACTTCGAAGAGTGGACTTTCTTCAGTTTAGAAAACAAACACAGCAGCTAACATTTTAATGAGAATTTACATTACATATTGCACAACTCAATATTCATTCTTACTCATAATTTAATATTTATCACTCACTATTTGAATACAGGAAATCTTCAATATAAGTTTTCTGAAGCTCCTAGCAAAAGAAAATAACAATAAGATAATCAGTTAATTATTCAGAAATAAAAAAAGAATAACATTGCTACTCCAATTTAACTGAAGTGCTATTTAATGCAGATAGTAAAATGTAAAGCAAATAAAAGAAAACGTAAGCACCTTCTAGATGGCTGAAGCTCTTATAAACGTTTCCCCCCCCCATTCATAACCTACTGCAGTACAACAATGATTAATATCCAAATGAAGTAATCTTAAAATTTTCTTAAACAAATGTATGAAATATCTAAACTAAACATTTAAAAAAGATCAAACACTTCTGAAATACCAAAATGTCCTGATATTCAAAGAGTAAACAAATAGCTAAACAAAATGCGACTACTACAGTATAAGAAATTTTCAGTTACATGCAGAAATTAATAAAAAAATTACGTGAATGAAGAAAAAAAACCTCTTTTTAGTGTTATTCAATATCATATTCTCCAAGTGATGAAATACTATGTGTAAAAAAAACTACCAGAGGGAGTGACTCTGAATGACAATAAAAATAACTAAGCATGATTCTTTCACACTAGGTTATCCAGTCCTGAATACAGAATCGTTAACCTCCTCAATCTCATTTTTCTTGGGAGATTATCTGAAATGCTATATTACATCATACTCCCATTAATCTAAAGCAACAGCTCTGTGAACATTGAGTCAAAAACCAATAAATCTAAAATATCTGAGAAACTAATACATAATTTAAATGGCTAGCATAAAAGAGCATATCAGATATATAACAGATGCTTTTCTCAGATACTATGTTTCTTTCAATCCACCCAAATACGTTTTCAAATACAAAAGTCCAGAAATTTCATATATTACAAAAAATTCTGAAATTTTCTTGTGCTGAAATGAGAAGATATTTCTGCGATCTTGCCAAATATAGTTTAGTTTACTTAACTATGGCAAAGGACTTGAAGGCTAACTGCCTAAGGGGAAGGATGCCTTCGTGGAGGGTTTCTAAGGAAACTGGCTCATATACACAATGCATATGGGGGATAATCACAAAACATTTTTCAGATAGTCCATTTTTTAAGCCTGATTTGTGATCTAGGTAGGTACATAAGTTTAAAGAAAGTGCATTGAAGGCTTGAAGCAGTTGCCTTCATGGCAGACCTTTCAAAGGAAAAATTGTTTGTATTCATATTACACATGAAAATATGAGAAAATTATAGATAAATAGTATGTTCAAATATGGAAACTGAAAACCTAGGTTAGCTTACATATACGCAATGACATTATCCAGTTGAACACAAAATATTTCATAGCCAAATACAACAGCAATGTCACTTGAAATATTAAAAAATAAGAGCAGATTAATAAAAATTTCAAAAAGTTGCAAAAAATTATTTGCACATTCTATGTAGCAGCTTTAAGTTCCTTCATATGTTGTTGTTGTCTCGTCCATGTTACGTGTAACAATGGTTGCCAGAGCCTACTCCAAAGACAGGTTGGATTTTTATTTTCCCACCCCCAATTTTGAGGGAGAGCACCCGGGGTGGTAGAAGGTTCCTACACATATTTAATTAATAAGAGTATTCTTAAAAATGTATATCACTACCAATTATAGTTTAATTAGAAGTGGAATACATTAGTGGTAAAACAAAAACATCACAGCTCTCAATTCATTATACAACATACAGAAAGTTATTATTATTATTATTATTATTATTATTTTACCTCTGTGTCCATAATCTCATCTTTTATAACAATATTAGGATCATATGTATCTGAAGAATCTTCAGCTGCTGGTTCATTAGCAGCAGGTTCACAAGCATCAGGTTCATCTAAATTACTCTTTGAAGCATCTACAATTTAAAAAAAATTTTTTTTTAAGAATTCTTTAATACACCTATAAAAGAAATAGAAAGTTACTTTTAAACCGTTCTTACCAGAAAACATTGCATCAACAGCTCTAGAATCCCTGGAATTGCTAGGGGAACTGCATAATGTATTTGCTACCCCTTGCATATCTTGAGTTTCATTATTTGATTCATCTACACCAGCTTCATATTCTGAAATTTTAGTCTGGGAGGAATCCTCACTTTCTTCAGGACCCTCATATAATTCTACAGATACACTATTAAAAGGAAACAAATTTTCATCAGTTTGTTCTGTATTTTCTTCTATGTCTGTTGCTGCAGAAGACTGCATTGTGTTTTCAGGAGAAGAATCTTCACATATTGCCTCGCCAACTGGGCTGCCTTCTTCAACCTATGGAAATTAAATTGATTCTTTAATACTGTGAAGTATCAGCCTGGAAAGAAAAAATTGCTTTTTACCTCATACACCTCTTTTTTCACCCCTCAGCAATAAAAAAAAAAGTCTATCGAGCAAATTTACAACTTATCAAACATCATTGTTTTCTTTCATCTATTAAACTAGAGAAAATATTTATTATTTCATATAAAATTTTAATGGAATATAAATTTTAAGAGTAGTAAGTTTTTCTGTATGTAATTTCAAATTTGTAAATGACACATTTTTTTAAAAATAAGAAGCTAGTTCCAATTTGCATGAAAAGTTTAAAAAAGGTGGTCACAGACTTTGATTCTGCAAATACTTCTCCCCCCCCCCAATGGCACACACTTGCTTATAATGGCATTGACCACTACTAAGGCCAAAAATTGTGGCCATTTTATTGTGCAGGCACCTAACAGACGGCCACCACTACCTTCCTATGAAGGGACAGATAATTTTACATTCATGCCTTTGATATCACAGTCATGCTCCCCTAATCACTAAAACGTCTGGACAGCAAATATAAATTATAAGCATATACTTCCAGTTACAAACCTTCTTAAAATAAGGCACAAAATTTTATGAAAAAGATTTAAATATAAGGTGAACAAGTTCTACAAAAAATTAACCCTGACTTTTTACATGGTCTTTGTTTCTAATTTCCAAATTGTAGAAGTTCTAATTTTTAAATTATACATTATGCTTTATATACTTAAAATTAAAAGCTTCATAATTTTAAGTGCAAAATCTGCCAAAATTTTCAGTCAGTTACCAATTTAATTTCAATTTTTTTTTGGGGGGGGGCAAATTTACACTGTAGATATAAAACAAATATCATGTGTTTCAATTAATGGCTGCATGTTGGTAAAACAACCTTCATTGTGAAATTTTTAACTGGTTTCCTCATAAATGTTCCATTTGCACTTCTTTGCTAAGACCATATTAAAAAAAAAAAAAAAAAAGTTTTCTTTTTAATCAAGTTCTCCCACCCATAGTGTTTAAAGAATTTTTCTTGAGTAACTTTGTAATTAAAATACACATATAAGATCAATATTTAAGGAGAAGAAGTCTGTAATAACTTTTATGGTGCTTTATGATTAATTATCTGATTATTATCTTGTCAAAAAGGCACCAAAAGTTTCACGAGGAAAAACATGTTGCCAATAAGGTTATATGGCAGCTGAGGTAGCACATCTGTTTTAGATGATGCACAATGCCAAACTACACATTGTCAAGTTTGTGAAATGCTTCAATTCTATCCAAAGAGAAAACAGATTGCTGTGAACAGGGGGGCAAACAACAGCCCCCCCAACGAAATTTTGTTGAGAAAGTAAACATTTTATTACTCATGTTTCTTTTTTTTTAGTTTCAGTAATTGATTGATCTTGTAAGGAATTTTTAGTATACTGCTATTTTGAAAATGTCTGTTGCCTTTGATGCATTTCAGGAAAAATTGTACACAAGGTTGCAACTTTTTAGAAGGAGTGTGTATTGCAGAAAGCACCACTTCTTTCAAATACGGTGTATAATTAACACATTCTTACACAACTGAGTATAATGCTAGCATATATTTTAGAAGTTCATTTGGATTCAGCAATAGCCTGAAATACTAACTGGAAAAACACATAAGTAAATAAAACTTGTTGCAAAACTGCAGAATGCCACTTAATCTGGTATCTAATTATAAGATCTAGTACCTAGTTAGCATCTGTGTCATGAAATGAAAAATTTAGTGGCACAGATATTGCTAATACTATAATACTTTTAGATATCACAATACTAATTTGTAACACTAACATATTAGTCACAGAAATTCTTAATACCTGATTTCCTCGTATATTTTACAACATTTTTAACTAATTTCACTGTCCGAAAATCGAGAGAAGAAAATTAAGCAAATGATTAAATTTCGGAAGGATTCAGTTACAGTAAGAACATAAATGAAAAGGTAGCCATGGATAAACTACAGGTAACTATCACAATACAGTGCAAAGTTCGTAATTCGGACATCCATTATCCGGAATGATCTATAATCTGGACCTCAAAAACTACAAACTTTTTTTTGTATGCTTTACGCATGCATACTTCACTTAAAGTTTTAATGAAAGATAATGTATCCGTATTATTCTTATTATTCTTCCCTCCAAATTGTATGTCTATGGACATGGGAATAGTGCACACACTGAAATGCAAATATAAAGTAGCATTTTTAAAATCTATGTTAAATTTCTTGAACAATGGCAGTTTAAATGTATAACGGATGGTATAAGCTAGGCTAAAATTATCTTTACTGATTCTAAGGCATTTCAGTTAATGTTGCAGATTGTGCTGTTCCTTAATCTTCTATTTGGGTCCAGATTATTATTTTCTGCAGACTGTTAGAGCAATTTTATAAAAATTAAGCTTGAACTTTCAATTATGTCAAAAAGAATTTCCAATTCTGGGGCTCCCAAAGGATCTACAAAGCGAAAGCATGTTTCGATGTTCATCAAACAAAAAGTGGAATTGCTGCAAAAAAATGGATAAAGGCATATCCATCTAAAAATTACACGGAGTATAACATTGGAAAGTCAACTGTATATGACACAAGCAAAAAGAAAAAGGAACTTTTTGAATTTTTTGTGGATTCTGACACCTCACTTGCAATGGAATAACAAAAGAAGGGCTTGTTATCCTATAAGTGATGACTGAATGGGTCAGACAGCATCGCAGCGAGCGCGTGCCATTGGTGGGTCCAATGCTAATGGCTCAAGCCAAAATATTTCATGAAGAAATGAACTTAAACACTGAGTGCACATATTCGACAGGTTGGTTAACCAAATTTAAAATCACCATGGTATAAGACAATTAAAAATTTCAGACAAAAGCTTCAGCTGATACTGTAGCTGCTGAACAATTTGCAGATGAATTCACTGAACTCATTAATAGTTAAAAGTTATCTCCATAACAAAATTGACAAAACTCATGAAACTGGTCTTTTCAAGCAATATTCACTGCAAAATATCTTGGCAACCTCTACAGAAAAGGCTCCAACTGGTGTCAAAGATTCCAAAGCAAGACTAACAATTTTAGCTAGCCCAAGTTCTGCAGGAATGCACAAATGCAAACTTTTCGTAATCAGAAAACATGCACGACCTCAAGCATTTAAAGGAGTAATGATTTTCTCCGTTATATATCGTGCAAATAAAACAGCACGGATGATGATTGATGAATGATTGGTTTGAAAATCATTTTATACCCGAGGCTCGGCAACATTTGAATTCGGTTGGTTTACCTGATGACTCAAATAGTCCTGATTGTTGACAACTGTTTGGCGCATACTTCACTTAAAGTTTTAATGAAAGATAATGTATCCATATTATTCTTATTATTCTTCCCTCCAAATTGTATGTCTATGGACATGGGAATAGTGCACACACTGAAATGCAAATATAAAGTAGCATTTTTAAAATCTATGTTAAATTTCTTAACAATGGCAAGACTATTCAAGACGTTTTGAAATTTTTTAGCATAAAATCTGCTGTGTAGAGCATCGGAAGATTGTAGGAGAATATGTCTCCAGATACGTTAAAAAATGCTTCGCATAATTTATGGCCAGCGACCATATTTCATGGTGAGGACGATGAAGATGATAGCCGCGAATTTGAAGATTTTCGGACATTGCAAATTAAAGGTAAAATTTTCCAGTGATTGAATTTTGTAAAGAATTGTGGAGAAGCGGTAATAAATGAAGATGATATAACGGAAGTTTTTCATTGCGACGACAATGCCCCAATCATCAATCAATTAACGGACGGCGAAATCTGTAGTATTGTTCAAGATGCAGAAAATACCACTTCCAATAATGAAGAAAGTGACAGAGAGGATACTGAAAACAAAAAAAATTTCGATTGACAAGTTAGTCTGTATTCTCAACACAGCAATTACAGGACCTGAACACTGGAACTTTGTAACTGAACAAGAAATTATGTCTGTTTATAGAATTAAAGAGAAAGTATTAGCACAAAAAAAGAAGCAACTTAAACAACTTACATTGAAAGAAATGTTTAATAAAGTAAACAAATAAATATTAAGCTTTTTTTTTAGTAATTTTTGATACCCTTTAGATTATAATTGCTCTTTATTTCATAAATTACGATTTCATATTTTTAATTGTATAATTTTCTGCATGCCATCTTACCAGATTTAAATCGATGATCTATAAACCGGGAAAAGTCCTTTTTAAACAATTTTTGGCTGATCTTTAGAATATGGTAACTGGTAGTTTGGCGACATTTTGGAGGCGATAAAGGTTACTACATGGGACTTTGGTAATAATGTGAGCAGTACTCAGTTCCGATTACGCATTATTTTGTGTGAGGGAAATGAGAGATCATGGGATATTCATGTGATATTAATGGACAAATTACGGTTCTTTAATCGAAAAGGGGGGGAATTTGGAAAACTATCTGTGGCTGTATATTATTTTGTATTAAGCTTCATTGTGTGTTGTGTGAAGTAAGGTTGAATAATTTTGGGATTGTATGGCGCTGTCTAAAGTGAATTCTAGATTTTTAATGCGTTTGTGTGATAATTCAAAAGAATTGGTTGAATGGTGCATGAGTGTAGGTTTAATTGCGGATAAGTATGAATACCCAAAATGTGGGAATGAAATGAGATTGTGTGAAAGGAAGGATATTACTGATAAGTTTGAAGGCGGTGCAAGAAATCTGGTGAAAATGGACATTTTGTGAAACGGAGTGTAAGGAAGGGTACGTGGTTTGAATTTTAATTTTATTGAATCCATAATAAAAGTGTACACCATGTAAGCAAGATTCTGAAGAAGATTAGGTAAGTTAGTATTTTTAATTATTTGAGGATATTATTTTTATGCATTGTTCTAAATGTAAGGTGGAAGTAAAGTAATTTGGTATTATTGGGAAAATTGTTATTAGCAATGATTTAGTTTAAAGTAATTAGGATTGTAAGCTAATTTTTATTAATTTAATGTATGTGCTTATTTATATTTTAAGTAGTGTTTTTGAATTTAATTATATTTTAATTAAATGAGAGTTATTTTGTGAATTTTATGTTTGTAGGAATTTGGTATACGTTTTAGTTGAAGTAAACGTGCATGGAAAGAATTTCTGACACAAAGTATTTGTAATGTTTGCGGTATGAATTCGTTGGTGACGTTTATAATATAATAGATAATTTAGAGGTAAAAGTTTTTGGATATTTTATTTATTTTATACGTGGAAATGTTCATATTTGGAAAGGGTATATACTTTTTCGTTACTAGGTAATTTCATATATGTCTTTTTAACGGGTTTAAAGATTCAGAAAAATTGTCATGCATTTTGTGAAATTTTTCTAATTTATGAGAAAAAGCAGTGTACATGGATATGGTGAAGAGTGTGCGCAATGCCATTTTTGTGCAATTCTGGGATTTTTTTTTTTTTTTTTTTTAAGTGAAAAAAATAAGTCGACGTGTACATGGTTTAGTGATATTTTAATTAAATGATAGTTATTTTGTGAATTTTATGTTTGTAGGAATTTGGTATACATTTTTTAGTTGAAGTAAACGTGCATGAAAATAATTTTTAAATATTTGACACTAAGTATTTGTAATGCTTGCGGTATGAATTCGTTGGTGACGTTTATAATATAATAGATGATTTAGAGGTAAAAGTTTTTGGATATATTTTATTTATTTTATATGTGGAAATGTTCATATTTGGAAAGGGGGTAAAAGGGTGTATATTTTCGCAATCAGGTAAGGTAATTTCATATATGTTCTTTTTTACTGGGTTTAAAGATTTCAAAAATTGTCATGTATTTTCGTGAAAATTTTTCTAATTATGAGAGAAAATTGTACAATATGGATATAGTGAAGAATTTGCGCATGCCATTTTTTTGTGCAATTCTGGGATTTTTTTTTTTAAGTAAAAATAAGTCGACGTGTACACGGGTTTATGGTATGGTATTGTGTATGTGTTTATTTTGAAAAAAACGTAAGGCGTAAGGAGTATGGTATTGTGCACTTTTTCCCAATTTTGCAGTGAATATTTGTCATGATTAAGCAGTTTTGTTAGATAAAATTTCTAGCATAAGTGTAATTCGGCTAGTAGATTGTTGGAAGAAGTGTTCAGTAAATAAAAAGAAAAGAAACGTCTTTACTTCGTGAAGACAAAATGGCGGCGGGAAAAAAAAAATAGAGGGTTGCTGTAGGAGAGTTGGTCACCAAATTTTCGCCAAAAAATCGCGAAGTTACCATAATCTAAAGATCAACCAAACTTTTTTTAAAAAACGCTATCAATACCATAAATTTTACATAGCTCTTTACGAGCTTCAGCCACTTTCTTGCCTTTATGAAAATAAAGAAGTAAATCAAAAATGTTTATTTTTTCACTCCATGTTAAAACTGACTGTAAACTAAGAGTTGTAAACAAAAATACACAAAATTTGTTTGGAAGCTAACACTTTTAGGTTGCGCAACCTAAAAGCATTATCTACCAAATCTCAAAAGAAAAAATTATACGATTGGCAGAATAAAAAACAAATATAATGCTATCTATTTGTGCAAATCGAAATAATTTTCTTGCCAAATCAATACTTCTAAGTAACTAAAGAAAGGAAGACAATTTAATAAAGATTATGTTTATGTATAATTCAGCTTCAATTCTCAACTCTGCATAAAAATTAAAATGGTACTTTCTGATTACCTGCATCCCTAGGAAAAAAAAAAACTGCCAAATCACACGAGAAAAATGTTTATTTGGCTATCTTTAAAACTTTTCCGTTCATAAATAATAACAAAAAGAAAAAAACATTTTATATGGAACAAATTTTTTAAGAAAAAGCAAAATTCTGATTGGCCAATATTTACTTTTTATAGCCAACAGAGGTTCTAATGTTGAACTGGGTGCCCTTTCGATTGGTCACTAATTTTGTTCAATTCTGGCGATGAATAACTTTGTTTTAACCTTGTATGACATCCTTTTTTCTGACCTTTTTTCTAAATGAAACTAGATCAATATGTACGTGGAGAGCGCACAGTGGCGAGTTTGTGCAATTCTCCGATGTTTTTTTATGTGAAAATAGATCAATGTGTACATGGACACCGAGTGTGCAATTCTTCTACTTCTTATTTTGGTTTTGTGTAGCGGCCATCTTGAAATTGTATGTTCCTGGCGGCGATCTTGGTATAAAAAAAGATTCGTCAAAAAAACAAGGAGCACCCCAATTGTAAACTTTTACCCCAACATACACTGCTCAGCTAGTCTCTTTAGTAAATAGAAAGAATGGAAAATTCATGTGTACTCAGTTTATGTATTCTGCGCATGCGTAGATTGGTTAATGTGTCATGTATAATTTAAAATAATCCCGAAACATTGCAATTTCACAAATGCTGAAATCAGGGTTTCAGACAATAATGTAACATTAAAATGAAAGGTAGTCTATTATGTGAAAATGTGTTCCTCTGCAGTACATAAAAAATATTATGTATTTTTAAGGCTGCTTTCACATGTCAGTTTGTTTCAGAAGAACAACTGTTTGGAACAATTTTTCTGGTTTGTCGCAACAGCCAACCACCATAGATCGCTTTGGGGTTAACACAGGGAAAACTGGTACCCCATTGCAAACAAGCTGATAGCTGATTGGTTGAAAACGAACAACTTGCAATTTTTTTGGAAAGGAAGGAAAAAGTTGTACGTCTTTCTTCAGTAGTAAAGCAGGCAGAAAAAGGTTAATCTTTGGATTACAGTAACTTGGCGATTTTTTGGCAAAAATTTGGCGACCAACCCTGCTACAGCAACCTGCTAGTTTTTGTTTGGACGCCATTTTGTTTTCACGAAGTAAAGGCATTTTTTTTTTTTTTTTACTCAATATTTTTTCCAACAATCTGCTAGCTGAATTACGCTTATGCTAGAACTTTTATGGAACAAAAGTGCTTAATCATGCCGACGATTAGGTGCGAAATTGGGAGAAAGTGTAGAATCGCAAACTGCTTGCCGCATTTTTAAGAATTGCACATACACGGTATCCATGTACACATCGACCTATTTTCACTTAAAAAAACATCCCAGAATTGCACAAAAATAGCATTGCGCACACTCTTGACTTTATCCATGTACACTGCTAAAGTCCTAGCTAGTAACTTTTATCGCCTTACCAAAATGTCACCAAACTACCTGTTACCGTATTCCAAAGATTAGCCCAGAAAAATTGTCCCAAATAGTTGTTCGTATGAAACAATTGATGTGTGATATGGGCCTAAGAATGCAGTAAATGCACAATTATTTATAATTAAATACTCAGCATGAGTTAAAAGCAATATGCAATATTATTAAATAAAAAAAAATTAAAACATCTTTCATAACTAAAATATCTATTTTGGTGGAAGTAATACTGGACTGTTTGCACTAAACTGTAGCAATGCCACATTTTGCTGAAATTATACTATTTTGATAAGAGAAATGAGAGTTAAAAAAAAAAAAAATGGTTTTTAAAATAACAGCATCATTAATGCAAATGGACTTTTTTGGTTAAACAGTATTACAAAAAAAATAAAAAAAAAAAAAAAAAAAAAAAAAAAAAAAAAAAGCATAATTAAACATTAAAAATAAACCTACTCACCTGCAAAATTACTTGAATCTACTTATTATAGTAGTTTACTTACCACTTAAATTAATTAACAGCAATTTTACACTAATCAACTCATTTTTTTAATGGTTTCGCATTGACCAAGTATTAAGGAACAAAAACTTTGATAAGTAAGAATTAAATTAAATACTTAATTTGTATTTAACATAATCTTTGTTATTTTTGCTTAAGAAAATTACAACAACGTGAAATACCCAGATTTATAAGAAAGAACTCTAAAAAAAGGTAAGCAAAAATTAAGCTGTAAAAATCAAAACTTACAACCAATTTCCTAATTCAGAACAAAGAATATGCAACAAAAATATAAAAACTGCTTCCATAATTTAAATTCAATAAATAAGTGTAGAAATACACAAATTTACTTCATTAAACTCAAAATTTTAATGTTTCTTAATACTAAACTGCACCTTTCAATATAAAATTTTAAGAAACTTCAGTAAGGTAGCACAAATTTTAACAAAAGAAGCATAAAGGTAAAATACAATACATAGATATAAATGAGATGAGAAAAACAGTTAAAATCACACACTAGGATGAATAAAACTGAATTAAGGAAAATTACAAACTTTTATGAACTATTAAACTGTTATCTATCTCAAAATTAAATAAATAAAATAACTGCCAATTGTAACAATATACTCAATATAAATACAGAACGTTTTAAATCACATAAGAAAGTTTAAATTAAATTAGCAGCTTTAAGAAAAAACAAAAAAATAATGTGTATTAAATACATAAGCTTATATATAGAGCTTGTAAGTACAATTTATATCTTTACTATTAAATTTACAAGCCTCCCAAACATGCTCTAAAAATTCTCTTACAAAGATTATTTAGGGCACTTAGTTTTGGTTTAAACCCAAATAGGAATATAATTTAAAAACTTTTCTTCAAAGATATGTAAATCGATAATTAAACTATGAACGAAAAAACTGCATAAATATTACTATAAATGCAGTTTATGAAATTTATGATAGTGCATACCTCAGTATCTGGTGGTGGAGTGCAGCTCATGTTATAAGCCAATACAATTAAACAGTCAAAACAAACCTGCAAAACAGATTATTAAAAAAATTATAGTTATCATTTATTATTTTAATTAATTTAACACTATTTATTTGTTAAAAATGTGTATCCGTACAAATAATTGGATTTAAATCGCAGCGCTTTCACACATAAAATAAGCATCTGCTGCAAATTCCTGATTACTGTGCTTTCATGAAAACAGTGCCAGTCGCCATTTTGATCCCTCAGTTGGGTATCGAACCACAAGCACCGACACAAATACAATAGAAAATATTAATTCACAACAATATCATAGCGTTACGGATATATAATAAGGCTAGGTGAAACGGACATTCATGATTAGCACATACAAGAATGAATAATTAACAAATACGGTCTAAATCGGACAATTTCACATTGAGCGGGAACTGCGAAACCACCAACTCGCCGACACCGCAAATCAATCGCCCAGCTACATGGATACTAACCTTATAAAAAGTTGATTTAACAAAATGCTCGATCTTAACACCGATCACATGTACAAAACTGAGAATAAATAAATCGCAATGCAAGATATCTGTGTTGTTTACAATTCAGATTATAGAACCTTTATATACACTTCACTGATACTACCGCCACACCGTGCACAGCTCTCGAAACACAACAGCCAATAGCTTCTCTACAGCACCAATAAGGAACATCGATGTAGCTCACAGCGTTACGTCACCAAAAAGAATGAGGCGACGTGCTTGCGAGCGAACTGTCGAGGGGTTTCCTTCGGTTCGGTTCTCGAGCTGTAGGTTCTTGATCGGTTCAATGCGGCGAATTACGTCTACTGTATTTCTTTGGAGCGGACTTTGAATATCGCGCTTGTGATCCGGTCCATGCGCGTAATAATGTATAAAGAGACTTATTTTGGATATGATTGTTTCTATACTCAAGACGACTTAATTACTTGCTTTAAAGAAAGAGAAAAAACATTTTTTTAATAAATTTTTTAATGATGTTTCGTTATTAAAGGTTTTTTTTTTTTTTTTTCGTTCATTAAAATTTTAAGTTAACGTATAGAGTTTGCAAAGTACGTTTGTTAAAATTGTTTCTATATCACTTTATTTCTTTTTTCAGATGAAAAAAATAATAAAGAAAAGTTTCTTTACAGCATAAAAACAACTTCTTTGGGGTTGAAATTAAAAAGGCTGAAAATAAATTTTAATTTACTAATATTACTTAAACATTGCGCACGCTTCCTTTAGAATTAGGATACGTTCAAATTCTACATTAAAAAGCTTTATTTCATTTAAAATATGAACATGAAGAAACATTATGTCCCAAATTATTATAGTATGAATAAAAAAAATGAATTAAAAATATAAAATACATTTAAAAATGTAATACCATTTGATGCATACTAGTATGTTCTTGAGAAAATTAAGACATTATCTCTAAATTACCCCAAATAGCAAATGATAGCTTATGAATTCCAAATCCAAAATTACGGCAAAAATTTCTGCAAAAAAAATTTTTTTTGTTTAATTTTTAAAAAAAATCGGAAATTTTTTCTGTTTTTATATTACGGCGTTTTATGTGTTACCTTTATTTAATAAATATCGTGTTCTTCGCACTTAAACCACAAAATGCAGTTCAACAGCCAAATCACAAAATATTTAAAAGAGCATATGCTTAGAATTTCTGATACAAAGTCTCGCGCACTGGAATTTTTTTTTTTTTTTTTTTTTTTTTTTTACGTTTTGTGTGTTACCTTTATTTATTAAATAGCATGTTCTTCGCACTTAAGCCACAAAGTTCAGTTCAATAGCAATATCGCAAAATAATTTTAAAATGAGCATATCTTTAGAATTTCCGATACACAGTCTCGCGCCCTGTAAATAATTTGCCCCCCCGAACAGTGTTGCCATTGCTCGCTTTGAAATCGTTGAGTTTCTTAATCAAAAACTCATAAATGCTCTACAAAATATGAAATAGATAATAAAACAAATTCCAAATTTGGACTTCCAGATGCCTATATTCGGATGGAAACGTACCTTATTCAGAATGTGATGGCTCTAGGTGCCGTTGTTTTATCACAATGCGACAAACATACATGCATTTATGCAGATTCTTCCTTATTTAATTTCTTTAAATATAATACAGGGCTCTAATATTTGGTGGCAACAATTTGAAAAGTGAACCGACACTTATAGTGAACCAACGCAAAACGCCGAAACGAAATTACTAGTCCTTCTGGGCAAATTGCCCCTTTGAACTAACAAGAATAAAGAAAGAAAAGGTACTTTCATGTCACAAATGCTACTTTAGTTAACCTACTTATAAATTAACACAAATAGTTGCAATTTAAGAAGGTGCACATTTTTATTATATCTCAAAGTTTTTTTTTTTTTTTTTTTTTGTTTTTGTTTTTTTTCCCCTGTCCTTTTCTTTTTTATCACAACCATACACTTTCTCTTTAGATTGCAAGAATCGTAGCCCTTGAAAAATTCTGTGCATTAGAAGTTCAAAAAATAATTTTATTAATAATAGCTATAAGCTATCCGTTTCATTTGAGCTAAAAAGGAAACAAATTAACTTGCAAGCGTCGGGCCCAAAGTGGGAGTCAAACTCGTGAAATGTACAAATTTCATGTGCTGTATTGCCTGTTAGTTTATAATTACAAGAATAAATTGTAGTTTCTCTTTTTTTTTTTTTTTTTTTTTTTTTAATACGTCAGATGCCTTTGTAGCTTAATCTTTCCATTTCTTGTGTCATGTTACTTTAACGCTGCCAAACTCATTAATCTGTTGATTAATGCTCTATTTTGTTGTGTAGCTCATTTCTAGTTTTGAGAGGTAATGCTAGTTCCTACTCCATAAAATCTTGAACTTGTCTTTCAAATTACGTTGCAAATCAAATGAAGTATATAACGATTAAAAAATACTTAATTCTTTTCCTTTTTTATTTTTAAAAGTATCTAATTCATAGTTTTATAAAAATTTATGTCATTTCTGTAAAAAGGGGGGTATTGACATAATTCACAATGTATCTAATTCATAGTTTTATAAAAATTTATGTCATTTCTGTAATTACAGAAATGTATATTTAAGGCCAGAAGCAATATGTCCGAAAAGAATGCAGCCATTCTAGATTTTAAAATGTATATTGGATTAAAATCAAAAACTGAAATCAAGAAAATATAATTTTTTTTTAATTGCAATCTGAGAATTCCAGACTCATTTTAAAAGAGTTAATCAACAAAATAAATAAATAAATGAAATGAGATAAAAATTTCTTTAAAATTAAATAAAAAGTCTATAAGGCGTTTTATTTAATTCTAAAGAAAGATTATAAGATTTTTTTCGGTCACCGAAAGAGGCTCTTTTTAAGTATAAATTCGTTTATCAGTAGAAGTTATAAATTGAAAATTTAGAGTAGGTAGAATAGCTAACCCTTATTAGTGTACTAGAAGAATATATATATTTAGACTAAAATGGGAACATCATATACCTATTGTTTATTTGAAAAGTGAAAAAATATACAACATAATTTTATAAACAAAATATTTAACAAATATGTTTTTCGTATGATATATCATAAATTAAATACACTTTGATATAAATCAATCTGATCAAAAAGTGAAAAAATAATATTAAGAACTAAATCTATTGCTTTTAAATATAAATTAAAGTGAATCAAGGTAAAATCTTGTTTCGAGACTTAATAGCCTTTTGGGATTAAAAATATTAAAACAATTAAAATATGCAATATTATATTTCCATGTTCTCCTTTACTAAAAGCCCATCAGCAGCCAAGCGGTAAAATTGCTGACTGTTGGTAGTTTGACCTGTGTTCGATTTCAGGCGAAAGACATGGGTGCTTTCGTGGTCAAGTTACATATGGGGATACCTGATACATACGTTATGAGCCGTTACTCAGTTTTTCGTAGAAAATCCTCCATGAAGGCACCCTCCCCCCCGTTAAACATACTAGCGTGCTTTGTCATAATCAAAGTAAACCAAACTTTTAAAAAATACTGTTACTAACTTGTAAAATTACATCTTCACTATTAAATAAAATTCAACTCAATTTTAAAAGCTCTAGAGTTTGAATCTGCATTTCTTTAACACACGTAGGATGGTATAAATAGAAAAATGACAAAATATTGAAAGAATATTTTACCGCTTGAGTAAAATTAAAGAAGAGATACAAATCACTGCTATTTATACATTCTACAAAACTTCATCATAAGCATTCAGTTTAATTTTGGATGCAGATTTGGATCCAATGTAAGTTGCTTCTTGAAACAGAGGACAGCACAGTATATTATGTTCATCAAATATTTAAGGAAATGTGCTCGAATATAAAGAGTTGGTTGCTTATAGATTATTTGTGGTTTTCAAAGAATCTTTTTATAAGATAGTTAAACGATTAGAAGTAGGAAACCATACACATTTTAGAATATTTAGATCGATAAATAAAATTTTAAACACTTTAGTCAATATTTAATCAAGTGTAAAAATCGAAGATGGATAAATGTTTACTTCTATTAACTTAGATATATGATCAATTATATCAATAAAAATGTCATAAATAAGTTAATAAATATAATGTAATAAATATAAATGTCATAAAAAAGTTAATAAAATAAGGGGGAAAATTAAATATTTTTTATCGATTTGCTTTACTGATTTACAATATACTTTGAAAGACAAATTCATTTTATACCCCAGGAATTATCAATAGCTTTCTGAAACAGAATTTAACTTTGTGCTGAAAAAAAAACCCTCTACGAACGAGATGCGTTCTGCAAGCCACTAGTTAGCCACCATTGTTATAAAATACTAGAAATTTATTTCCTTTGTCACTCGTTTGGTATAAAATAACACTTGTTGAAAAGTGTTATTGAGAAATACAGATGAATTAACTGCTTAGTGCTTCACTTTTTTACTCTGATGAACAACGCACTTTTATAATATAACCTTTAAACACTTTAAACAAGATTTAAACAAAGACTTAAACACGTTCAAAAATCGAATATAAATAAATTTTATGCATCGTCGATTGGCAGCAGTGTGCTCTCGTATTTCTTATCATTAAATGTAATGGGCAGGATTTTATTTTTAACCAATAATAGTATCGAAGGTAAATAAAAGATGTTATGCATCGTCGATTAACAACATGCTGTTGTGTTTATCTTTAACCGTAACGGGATATTATCGCTAGTTGAAAACAACAATTCTTGGAGATGTTTAGAATAATAAATTCTAGAAGGTTTTACTGTGGTTCGGGTAAAAATAATTTCATAACATTTAATGTTCTGGAACTATTTTAATAATGTTTAAAATGTTTATAATTATTAATTTTATTTTAATTTCTTGTCTCAACTGTGCTCCAAAATAAAAGAACCATTTTTCTAAAATATCCATATTCTGCGGGGTCAGAACTAAAGGAAATATAACCGGTTTTATTAAAACTTAATTGTGCACTTTCCTTTTCTGGGAAACTAAAGATTTAAATTCGATTCAGTATGGGATATGGAGAATTAATTTGTAAGATTGTAATCACTTATAAGAGATTTCGGGACTGCATAAGTTTTGACATGAGTCATCAAACGAAATTTTGTTCACTTACTCCCAAACAAATTATTTATTCAAGACATTTAGAGACTCATTATATTGTTTCAAATTAAAGACTGAATGGGTAATGCGTTAAATAATAAGAACAATAATGAGCATTCGGT